GAGAAGGGATGATGGGGATTTTTCTCTTGGGTGACAGAACAATTTCATGTAATGAGGAGTTGATTCTACTATTTATTACTTTTTGTTATTATTATTAATTATTAGGTACTATGTGATAAGGTGGAACTATTTTAATTGGAATATTATTTAAGCTATTTTATCATCCAGCTGTAGGATCAGATATGACTTGAAAGTTGTTGCTTCCCACAGGTGCTAGGAAAAGCTGCTGAAAGGGGAGAGCCTGAAATCCCCAGGAATTTAATCTGTGAAGATTACCCAATGCTGGAAAAATAATGAGTTAGATATCTACATTTTAAAAAATAATTAAATAAAAATAAGACATGAATCAAGAATGTGTAGTGGATAAAAGTTAAAATTATATTAAGTATAATAAGAAAAAAAGGAATGTTTAATACTTTGCGTATTGAAATAATGGGGAAGATAGGTATGGGGTAGGAGATCATAAGCTTATATTTTTCCCTGCTATAACTTTTCCTCTTTTACCAGATTATTATTTATTCATTTAACAGTAATTGCTAAACAGTCGGTAGATTATCTGACTAATTTCACTAAAGTATGAATGAAGCTTGACTGTTGTTTACTTTGTGCTGGGTACAGATGTACGTTGCCAGGTGCATCAGTGAATGAAACAGATCCAATACTCTGTCCCCATAAAGTTACTTCTGGTGAGATACGACAGGTAATGAATAAGACACTGGGTGATATGTTAGAAGGCAATGAGATCTACGAAGAAAGAGCAGGTCAAAGAGATGGAGGCTGAGGGGAATATTGTCATTTCATATAGGGGTCAAGGTAGGCCTTGCCAAGAAAATGACATTTGAACAAAGATGAAGAAATCTTTAAATTTTGTACTTTAAATATGAAATTTGACAAGTCTCTTTATTGATTATTGATGTATTGCTTAAAGCATGGATGGAAAAAAAAGGAAAAATTCTTTTTTAAAAGATAAATCAACCAAAAGAAAGAACTATATTTTATTTACCTTTGAAATTTCAGGTGTTTCAGTGATGCTTCAGTGATAGTCCTGAAATTTTCTCTATTTCACCATCTGTGGATGTGTGTGGGTCACAGTGAAAGTTCTGAGACAGACTGAGTTATGATCCATTATCCCACTTCTAAGAAACACAGTTGACAGCATCCTCTGATTCACCTGTAAAGGTGTCAACGTGCTCGGCAATAGGGTGCTGCTGGGAGGGCTTCGTTTGTTTCTATCTGCGTGGATTTTATGTTTCTTGATGTTTGTGTATCTCAAAACTTTTGCAATGACTCACATATCCTCACTAAATGAGGAACCTTGAAGACACTCCTCCTTGTATCTCCAGAGCCTCGCATGATGTTTGCTTGACACACGGTAGGAGCTCAATGATGTTAGTGACTTGAATGTCTAAATGGTTGTATTGGTGTGTATATTTTTAATAAGCACATGGGGATTATGTCAGATAAGGTCTTTTATTTTATAGAACTCATATTTGTATATTCTTTTTGTTACTTTTCCTGACATTCTGCAAGTAGTCCTGCTTGTCTTCATTAAGGTTTTCTTGGTACTTTCAGCTCTCAAAGTACCAAAGCACTCTTGTAGGAGGTGCTTAAGTCATAATTTGTAATGTTGTAATCTAATTCCTACACTATGCGTCTCTGTCCACCAGGACTGAGGCTGCTAAAATATCTTACGATGGTTACAAGGTGATTTCTTTGGGCTCTTTGGAATGAAATAGCACTTGGGGAACTGCTAGCTAGAAGAAGGGATTCCAAATAATAGCTTTTTGTTCAGAGTTCCTGCATCAATTCATGGATAGGTCAATTGGCACTCATCATTTTAAACTCACTGGGGGCCAATGTAGTTAAAAGGAATATAAAGAGCACTACAGTATAGGCAATAAACAGAGGGCTGTAACTGCATAATGTGTGGTGGGAAAGTGGATTGGAAGATCTATAAAAACTGCCAAAATAACCAAAAATATAATTAAAGGAGCAAAAAGACATATTGAACACAATCTCAGGGACTATTCCAGGCCATAGTAAATGTCACTTCAAATATATCTTTAGACAACAGAAAGCAAAGTAGAAAACAAGTCCCACAGCGGAGGAAGAAAAATACCAGACAAAATCGCAGGAAAAGGCTAACGAGAGTTGGATTTGCTTATGTTAATTTTTACCTTTCTTTAAAATAATTAGTGCCTAACCTAGAGATCAGACAATTTGAAATTCTCAGGTGAGAAGAGGATAGAGAAAAGCAAAAGGAAAATGCACAGGTGCTATTTTAGGCAGGCAGGGCTGAGAATAAGGTAGATCAACTGGTGTAGAAGAGAACAATTGAAATTTGCAGCTCATACCTAAGTTTTGCCAACTAAACACAGTTATTTTAGATCCTATCAAAGTTACATACGATTTTTAGAAAAGTTTCCCTTTTTACTTTGATTTTGTGAAGGCACGTAGGTTACACATGATTTCCTCAAGAACAGAAAACAATACTTCCAGTAGAAAATATTTTTTGACAGTGAATTTTTATTGCTTGGATCAAGGAGTCTCACCTAGTGAAATGCATCAGAGTTTCCTAGGGAATTTTCCCACTAAACATCTTTCCATTGAGACTAAATAGGAGACATTTGAACAGCTTATAATAATCTTCAGAAATACACTGAACTTTATCATTCTTCCCAAAATATCAACCTCTGTCATGAGTTATAATTAGATAAGAAGTGATTGAAAAATTTAAATAAAATGTACAATCAGTATAGCACATTATCTGTGCGATACAAAGTCGAGTTCTTGGGCACAGAAGCAGATGGAAGCCTTCGTGTGCAGCCCACCTCTGCTGTAGCATACACAAGTCCGTCATCACGCATGGTAAATAAATACCTGGTTGTGGTTTCCTGTGGGCTGAAGCATTCCAAAATATTTTTAAAGTTAATGGCTGTGAAGACAAACTACAACTATGTAATGGTATCAAGCTTAGGATTTCAAACACTGGTTACAGGGCTAGAGATAAAACTACCTCAAAGATAATTTGGTAAAACAAGTGCAGGACAAAATTCTTTGGTTAACCCTGTCCATGGACACACACACACACACACACACTTGCACACACATGAACCCACATAAAATCTGCAGGTCCATACTTTGCTCAATGTTTCTCAGAAATAGATACTTGAAATTCATGTGATGCCTTAGATTTTTTTTTTTTTAAAAAAAGCACTGCCATAATTATCTTTTGAGGAAAATCTTAAATGTATCCTATCAATTTTTTAAAAGTTATTCTATCAATTTTAATAAAAACAGGGAAATAGTTTTGTGTGAAAATGTAAATTAATGTGTATGCACACCCACAGAAACAAGACTTAGGAACATGGTGTATTGGTTTAATGATAACCAAAACACTATTTTACATTGAAGAGGAATCATTCTAACAGCAAACACTTGGGTACTTTAGATCTAGAAGAGGCATTTCATTTCTACAGGGAGGATTATTATAGAAAAATAATGGAACTTTTCAATTTTAATACATGGAAAGTTGAGGGCATATTATAAAGCTAGAGGAGCATAGAAGCAAAGGTCTAGGAACCATTTGTTGATTAGGTTAGGTTTGTTGATTAGGTTAAGCAAAGGTCTGGGAACCATTTGTTGAGTTATGGTTACCTACCTAAGATGATATCATGTACACATGTGTATGTGTGTGCACACCTGTGTGGTGGCCATGGAGGTGAGGTGGCAAGGGACAATAGGATTTTATTATCAGAAAAGTGAAGTAGAGAATTAGTTATGTTCCTGTCTCTGAAGACTGCACTTAAACCATGCAGAAACATGTACCATAATCTCCCTTACTTCAACAATTTTTAGTCATGGCCAAACAGGTACCATCTATAGCTTTACTATCATTGATCCTAAAAACTATTATACCAAATTATATATTATGATCAAATATCAATTTATTATTTAATTTTCCTCAATTATCACAGATATGTTTTTATTTATGGTTTATTCTTTTTGACCGTGTTCCCATTAGTTTGTCCTATAGCATTTCCTAGAGACTCTAAATTTTACCTTTGCAGGTGAAGTTTAACACATTCCTGTCTCCTGAATTCTATAGAAACTGAGAGTTAGATGTAAAATGCTTCAACAATAGAATTTAGAATATTTATGAGGAGGGATGAGAGCCGTTTTGATAACTTTCTATAATTGTCCCCCATCTTAGCCAAGAATTTTATGGAAGCTGATTCAAAGATTAGTATGACAAAGTATTCAAATTCAGAAAGCTTATAGTCTAAAGAAGGAAACAGGCATGGATATAATTAGCTCTAACAAAAAGCAACATACAAGATACAGTGTTCCACAGTGCTGGATTTTGTATCAGTATTAATAGAGTGATAAAGTTTCGCCTTCTTTGTGACCAGAAAGCTGGTATGGACAGGGCTGCTCTTGGGACAACTCCATCGAACACAGGAGCTCTGTGGAACAGTTTGATAGGCAATCTCCAAGATTCCTTCTAGCTCGAAACCTCAGAGAGATCATGAGCGGTATGGTACAATTCATAATGTTTTTGCAAACTCCTAAACTTTCCTTAAAGCTATACTTGAACAAAGCTTGGGAATATTAACGGGGAAAAGATAGACACATAACATTGCAGCTAAATTGAAGTATTTCTGGCTAGTCAACAATTCTGCAAGTAAGCTTAGAATGGACGATGTATCGCATCGACATGCTTCAGTTCCTCTTTCAAGCAGAACAAAACAAAACACCTGCCAGTGACAAGAGCCATATAGTTGAATAAAGTGACAAGTGACAGGAGAGCGACTCCAAACTTGGCCAGATTTGGTTCATTAAATATCCTACTCATTTAAGAGTAGTCCAGTCTTTAGAGACGGGAACACACTAATTCTCTTTTCTCCTCCTTTAATATGTTTTTGTGTTCTAGCTTTGGAATTCTGTGTGTGCGCGCTGTATTTTGTATTCTGCTAAGATTCATGCAACTGTTTCCTTAGGCACAGACAGCACACATTGTCCTGGAAGATGGAACTAAGATAAAAGGTTACTCCTTTGGCCATCCATCCTCTGTTGCTGGTGAAGTGGTTTTTAATACTGGCCTGGCAGGGTGAGTAATGCTTTCATTCCAAGGCTTTATTCATCCTTTATGTAGAGAAATAATTGGATAATCTTACTCATGGTGGGAAGTTGAAACCAACACATCAGATAAGACTGCGTAGTGTCCAGAAGTTGCACGCTGCTTTGTGCTTGCCCTGCTGTGGCCAACCCTAAAAAAAGGCAGAGACGTGAACTTCCTGCCACTGTGAATGGGTAGGAAGGTGGACACTCTGGTGGTCCCCTGAATAAACAGAACAAAATTAATTCCAGAAATTCATGTTGTAAGGACAGAGATCATACGAGATTACCAAATAGGAAGGAAGTTATGGGTCTGATTAAGGTGAAAAGTGGAGCAGTGGTAAGTGTACAAGGTAGTATCATGCCCTTAGTAAGGAATCAGCTTTGCACATCTACTATGCAGTACTGTAAGGATATAAAGTATTTTATACCATGTTGTACTTTAATAAGAGAGGTGAAATAAAAGATACCTTTTATCTGTTGCCTTGAAAAACTTGATGAGATACTAGTTTAATATTTTTAATAATTATCACTTGGTCCAACCTGGTATTTAAAATCTGCTAACGGATGTATGACCTCAAAGATGAGAATTGCTACAGCAATTATGTGGCTGGTCCTCCCTAGTTAACAAATATTTGTTCATCCGAGAACCAGGAGACTGAAGTTCTTGTCTCAAGTTTGATGAAAACTGATTATGTAACATTGAAAGCATCACTTAATCTTTCTGAGTTCTGGTTTCTGCATATAAAAAGTGAGGGGGTTGGATTAGGTAGTAATTTATAGCAGGGGATTTAAAAATGTGTATGTCTTAAGAGGTTTCCAGTAGTGATTCACTCCTACTAATCATTTCTGCAATATTCGTTAAATTCTTCGGAGAAATTTACGGTAGACTCTTAAAGACAATGAGGTGTTGGGGTAATGGACGACCTTGATTGACCAAACTTCCGTTATATTATTAATGGACATTATTCCCTAAACTCTTGCCTCTCTGTATGAAATTAAGACTATTAGATGGTTTTAAAAATAGTTTCACTGGTGAGAACATTAAATTACAGTGTATGAAATCTGTTTGCAAAGTTTTTCTTCACCAGGCAATTATTTAAGCTTTTCGACAGCACTAATTACTAGCTGTGTTAATATACCTGCCAACAAACAACTGTTTAATATAGATCAGAATGATGGAGGGCACTGGAGTTTTCTTCTCTGTGATAGATTACGGGTAATAAATCTTGTCACATCACAAAAGTCAAACAGGACCTGATGGATTAATGTGCTTCCAACACTGCAGTTCTCTAGGACAGGCTATATTTATTCATTTAGTGGAGAGTATTGTATGCATATGTTTATAGGGAATGGCCAGTTCTTTTATGGAAAGAAAGAAGAAAGGAAAGTAAAATCAAATTAATTAAAGTTTTTTTTGATGTAGAAAAGGCATTTGTTTATTAGATTAGTTCACTGACCCTATTTCCATTGAGAAATGCTGCTTTCATTCATTGCACGGCTCACTCAGTCAAGTGGTCGATAATTAAGGGGTTTATTTTGTTTTTTATCTTCAAGAAATGCATTTATATTGTGTGCAACCATTGGTTTAAAAATTATCAGTTCCTGCCAGGTGAGAGGCATCTGAGAAATTAGCTGATGGAGGCTGTGGACAGATACCACAGCACCTGAATTGCCCCAGGGATTGAAGGGCTCAAAGACTAAGTACTCTGTTGCCAAAGTTAGTTCTGGTCGAGTTAGTCTGGATGAGGTTGAAGAATTTATGTTGACTACTGCCTGAACTGAACTTTATTGGTTTCAAGGATGTCGATTCTGTCTCCCTTAGCATCTAAATTCACTTTCAGTAGTAATCCACACACACACACAAAATCTGGTTTAACTCATTCTGCGGAAAATCAAAATGGAAAAGGGCAGGAAAAAACTTCTCAACTGCAATGTACTCCAGTGCGTGGAAAAGATGCAGATGCCTCCTGGTATTAATGAGAAAAATGTTTCTTCTTATTAAGAATATGTGTATACATATCTTATATAATATTTTTAAGATAGCGCCCTCTTGCATTGCTCCCTAATTCCATGTCAGTACTTTAAAAAAGTTATTTGGATCTTTTAATTTACAGTTAAGAAACGCTTCAGGTCCAGGTTTGTAAGATTAATTTTTTCTAAGTTGATAGTAACTCCCAATTTATATACTTCCTTCTAAAAACTAAAATATTTCAAAAATCAACTCTATTGAGTTAGTCTTTCATATAAATTAACTCTCTTGTTTTAAAGGTTCAATGAGTTTTATTAAACATATTTTCCCACGTAACTTTAACTGACACAATCAGAACATTCATCATTATCCTAAAAAGATATCTTCATCATATCCTAAAAGATAAAAATTTTTCAATTTTTTTTCAGTCAATGTCTTGGTGAAACTACATCACCCAACAGTAAACATACGTTTGGGCACATGAATATCTGGTAGGCTAGAGCAATCTGCAAACTTTAAATAAAGCTGCAGTTTTTAAAAACTAAGACCCTATGAAATTTATTAAAAGAATTTAAAAATTTAAAGAAATGAAGGGAATAAACCTGTGTAAGAATATACCTAATTACTTAAGAGTCATTTTTTTTCTATTCATATCAATCATATCATGGGATAGATTTCCATATTGTCATAAAATTTTCCTAGGTTTTCTAAAATCTAAAGATATGCTTGTCAGATTTTAACCTCATATTACTATTGATTTTCAAGGGTTTAATAATTCAGAGCATATATATAGATTATAGTTTTATATAAGTTTCATGTACTTTTTTGGTTGATAATTTTTTGGCATGTTTATCCAGGTACCCTGAAGCTATTACTGACCCTGCCTACAAGGGACAGATTCTCACAATGGCCAACCCTATTATTGGGAATGGTGGGGCTCCTGATACTACAGCACTGGATGAACTGGGACTCAGCAAATATATGGAGTCTGATGGAATCAAGGTAGGACCAGGATGGCTATTTAAAATGTCTCGACTTGAGGGGGTATATTTGACTTATTTTTAAGAATCAGTGATGGGCAAAATTCCTTTGTCAATATTGTAATACAAACTATTACATTTATGTAGTCAACCTTATTCCTAGGTATATGAGAATAATCTTAAGCTTGACATTGTTTTGCGTTTCATTTCTCAGGGCACTCTGGATTTTAATGCATTGAATAAAATTGGGTTTATTTGGAAAAGTGTAGTTATAAGTTCAAATAACAATAATGTTATAAGAATTGGAGAGGAATTGCTCTTTAAAAGGAATTTGGTAATCAATTCTATATCAATTATTCGCCTTTTAATCTTGTCCTCTTTAGAGATGAATAAAAGATTGCTTATATGGCACATAAAAAGTAAACACATTAAGATTTCCTACTTAAGGTAACTTTGGATAATATCTTAGGAATGTGGATCATATAAATAATTCGAAAATTTGCATTCTAAATCCACCACTCTATTTTTTCCACTAATCTATTTTTGAATGACTTGAACTGATCATATAATTCAGTTTGAACTAGTTTTCACAATTTTCCTTAAATTTCTCAGTATTCTTTATGTGCAATTAAAATAGTTTTATTTTCATAAGCATTAAATATGTAATTATTAATTAGATTATTGATAAATGCCATGAGAAAAAAGTACAGAGTGCCAAGAAGGGGTACTAGCTTAATTTCAGTATTCAGTAAGCAGGTAAGCCTGCTCCCTCCCATAATTAAGATAACTATTACATATTTCAAAGGAAAAGTGCTCATAACCATTTTTTCTCTTCTTCAAAATTTTAAGTCTCAATGGATATAATAAAGCTTTTTAAAAGATGCTTTTAAAAACAAACCGACCCTCCAGATAAGTCACAAGAATTGGATAGTATTTTGAGGCCACTCTTTACAATGACCATCCGTCTTTCTAGGTTGCAGGTCTGTTGGTGCTGAATTACAGTAAAGACTACAACCACTGGCTGGCCACCAAGAGTCTAGGACAATGGCTGCAAGAAGAAAAGGTGAGAAAAATGACAGGGCATCCATCACACCTCAGGACCATTGGTGGAGCCTCTGGAAAGTTGCGAAGGTGTATGTAGAATCAAGAGAATGTAGAGGAAGAGCCTGCAGTTTGGGATTTTTCTATTTTACAGAGTGATTCTTTCCCACTGGATGCATCTTCCTTTAAAAGCTGAGGACCACATATTTTCAGTATATCCACTAGGTGGCACTCAAACACGCTTCACAAAGTTACTCATTTGGGAAAGGGGGTAGAGAAAATTTTAGAATTTTCCATTCTCTTGAGTAATTGTAGTCCAGGATATGGTTATGTAACTTGCTTCATGGGTTCTAGTACCAGTTCTGCTATTAATTGGTTGCACAGCTCTGGGCATTTCACATAATTGTTCCATACCATACTTTCATGAATTTTAATTCTTAGGAGTATAAGCAGATTACCCTAAATTACTTTGGGTTTAAATACAATGACATTATATAGGAAAAATATTATATGACCTTATCTTATACTTTCCTTACTTTAAATATTAATTTCTATTCAAATAAGAGGATTTACCTTGTTTGAATGTTAGAAGTACTTAAAGTTAGTGGACCCATCTGATTTAACTTCATCTCCGGTATTGTAGCTGCTTTTTGTTCAACTACTGATGGGCCTGTAATTGACAGAATATTATTCTAAGGAAGCTCTGTCTCTCCAGTAGTGTCTGCTGACTTAGGGTAAATTTTGTCTCTCTCTGACAATTCCAAAAAGCCTTGATCTTGGTAGCTTCCTAGGTTTTATTCTTTCTAAATTTTAAAAAGGAGAAGAAGATGTCTATATTGTGTTTTAGGCCATTACTGTTATCTTCTCAACCAATGTATGAATTTGTCTGCATTACCCAGACAGTTAATTTTTGTAATGGCCATTCAGGAGACCTGTTTTTTTTTTTTTTTAAGACCTATTTCCTTTTTGTTATTTAGGGCATCTGACATTATAGCTTCTTTATGTCAGAACTATTTAAGAACTATAAGCCTAACCCATGGCTTGTTAGCTTGGTTTTTAAATGTGCTTTGAATCTTCTTCTTCTTCCATATAGAGAAGGTCTGTGATAATAACCAGTTCACTTCCTTCTATTTCCAGGTAGGAATAAGCATGCTGCTTAAACACCTTTCAGATAATTGGTTGAAGAAAAGAAATTAGAATCTGTTTTCCTGATTCCTAATTCATCACTCTTTCATTATACCACATCTGTCTCTATCTTACCTAGACAAAAAAACTAAAACGAATGTCCTACTCCCTGACTGACTGATAGGAGAAGCAAGTTTTAGCATGATGTGTCTCCTCTACGGAGCCATTCAGAAAAATGTGTGTGGTATTTACTATGTACCAGGAACACTGGGTTCAAAACATGAATTTGCATATCATTGTTTATCAAATTTATCGATTCCTGTGTCTGTGTATATATATTTGCATATATATCATATACGTACTCACATAGTATCACATTAGTATTTACATATATATCATATCTATATTTACATATATATCACATATATATGATTTTACTTATTTAACATCCTGTTTTAAAAGCAACAGAACTATAGCAGTAAATTGACATTCAGAATTTCTCATTTTTTATTCTGAGAAAGGGCCTGGGTATGGAGATTCCTCTGCCCCACTGGAGCAGCAATTTACCGTGTTCTGACAGCACAGTCACCCTGGGTCAGAGAAAAGAAAGAGCGGAGAAATTATTTACTGCTCAAGAAGATAGATGAGGCTAAGTTTGTAACTTGAAAACAATATGCTGGATTTAATTTCCCTCAATTTCACTGTCCGCACAACTTTTTTTCTCATAGGTTCCTGCGATTTATGGGGTGGACACAAGAATGCTGACTAAAATAATTCGGGATAAGGTAAGACCATCATCTTTAGCCAAATCTATGTTTCTGCACACTTTTTCCCCCTGCATATCTGAGGGATCCAATAATATGTAAAGAAACAAGCATAGACAGCTTGTGCTACTTGGGTGTCTGTATTTTCTTTACTATTTCTGATGTAATTTTCAAGACCTAATACTTGATTGGTACGTTTGTAACTGGATGGGCTTGAGATTAATTCACCTTGCAGTTTATTGAGTGCCCGCTATGTGTTCATTGTACCAACAAGTCAAGGCACTTATAATTCAGCTCATGTGACGAGACTTAAGTGAAACAAGTGGAACAGGTAAGTAAGTGCCTAACAATTTTCCCCAAACTGAGTGCCTACGTGCTGTTGCTGAAGAATGCAGACCAGAAATGCACAGTATTGCTGCTGATACTTGTTTCTTGCTCTTGGAAGAGTCATCTGTGAAATTAGTGAGTTACCCTTCACCAAGGGGCCAAATGAGGCCTTATGTGTCACCTCAATTCTAGGGTCTTTCTTGAGACTATCAGTGACCAAGGTGATAAAAAAAGGAAAGGTTACTATTTGCTTTCCTATCTGACTGCTGCAACATCCGACCCCATCCTCTGAGATGATCTCATCACCATCTGCTTGCTTCTTCTTGCTGTAGAGCTTGAAATGATTATTTTTGACATGAAAACTTCATATACCAAATCAAAAGGAAATTGTGCCTCACTAAGGTTACCTACATTCCTCAAGTTCATAAGGTTTCTCATTGGATACTGTTACATAATATATAATTGGATATTATGAATGATATAATTAGAAAGTACACATGTGAAAGATTTCTCAAGATCATCTGTCAAAGAATCCTTGTTAGAATATATATGGACATATGCTGTCTGTAAACAGAAAGAAAAATCAGCTTTGGAAATAAGAACATAGCGACATGCCCATGATCAGAAGGACGAAAGTGACCGCTTAGGCAACATTCTATTCCACTTCTGATTTTATTCCCTCCACCATGATTTTCCTGGGAGTAGATATCAGCAAAATTATATACCCCGGGTAGATCCTGGTGTTTTCTTAGTCTAATGATGTGTGCAAGCAGTTATAAATGATGTGGCTACCAAGATGGGAAAGGAATAAAATTGGGAAAATCTTTTCAGGCTGCAGAGTTGGCAGGTTGAATAACTATAGTAAGGACCAATAATTTAGGAAAACTTTTAATATGTGCCCTTTATTTGATGTGTTATGTTTAAATGAACCCTCATTTCATCATAGGGAGTCAGGTTTTCAAGATTTGGCTGGATGGGTGATCACAGAAAACATAGTAATATTACCTCTTAGATGTATTGGCTCATATTAAAAATTATTTGGTAGCTTTCCTTTCTATTACTCATAGGTGGAAAAGTTAGATTGTATTTCATTTGGCGTCTTTCACAAGGCACACTGTCTGGGTGATGGGCATTCTTATAAGTTTGACTCAAATGGTACAGAACCAATTTATGTAACTAAGACATTTGTATTCCCCCATCATTTTCTGAAATTTAAAAAAAAAAAAGGAAGGAGAACTAAAACCCAAATTTTAAAATTAGGAATCTATAAATGTAGTCAAGGGGTTATGTGACTTGGATTCTAAGGGTAATAGAGACCACCATGAAATTTAGTGATCGGGTACAGAAGTGAAAGGGGGTTTTAGTTTTCCCAGACTCTGGTTTCAATAACAATGTGGAGATAGCCAGCGTGCCTGGATGGCCTGCAGGCTCTTTCTAATCCCACCCACTCCCAAGTGACTTCTCCTCCAAGGATTAAGTTTAAAAAAAAGGGAAGCAAAGTCTTCCTTTTACTTCCTTCCACGTGGTATTTTCTAGGAAAAAGGAAAGTCCGTGAACTATTTTGAACTTTTCTACCTCAATAAAATCTTGATTATTAAGTGTGTCATACCATTTCTGTAACTAGTTCCAAGTAGACTCACTCACAAATGGGCGAATCTCAAGATGCAGCTAAGAAAAAGAAAACACGGCCCTGTTCAAACTAGCGAGGCCAATTAGTGAAAACGCCACAAAGGTTGGATGCTCAGCTCCTTATGGACACTGGGACACTGATGTGTCTAAACCAGTGAATATTTTCATCTCAACTTCTACACGTTTGTTATTTGTGTTGCAGTTCATCCTTTTTGTGAATAACTTTACTATCACAATGTATAATACTACATTCTCAGTCTATTTACTTTTTTTGTTATTTTTAGATTTCTTTTCTTTTTCTTTCTTTCTTTGTTTTTTTTAGAGACAGAGTCTCACTTTGTCGCCCTGGGTAGAGTGCCGTGGCATCACAGCTTATACCAACCTCCAGCTCTTGGGCTTAGGTGATTCTCTTGCCTCAGCCTCCCACGCAGCTGGGACTATAGGCGCTTGCCACAATGCCAGCTATTTTTTTTTGTTGTTGGGTTTGGCAGGGGCTGGATTTGAACCCTCCACCCTCGGTATATGGGGCCAGTGCCCTACTCACTGAGCCACAGGTGCCGCCCTAGTTTTGCATTTCTTATTTCCTTCTCAATATGTGGTTTGTTTTAAGCACTCTTTCATAAAATGTCTTCAGGCCATATGCTCTGAAGTGTATAGAGATACACTAAATACTGGAATTTACATCAGTCTGGAGCTTAGAGACCCAAATTCTGCTGCCTCCTGGGTTTGCCTGCACCAGGCAACAGTTTCAGCCCTAAAAGAACTAATTGTTTTTCCCAGCGTTTCTCAAAATGTACGTGCAAATTACTTGATCTTTCTAGTTTGAGAAGATGAAGGTCTTCTGCTGATGGTTATGAGTGGTAATAAAGACATCTCAATCTTGGAACAGCTGTTTAACGTCCCTGTGAGTCTATCCTGTCAGCACCTTCATCGCTGCTTCCTTTTAACCGTTAACTTTTTTTAAATTTGATAGGGTACCATGCTTGGGAAAATTGAATTTGAAGGTCAGCCTGTGGATTTCGTGGATCCAAATAAACAGAATTTGATTGCTGAGGTTTCAACCAAGGTGAGAGCTCTTCCTTTATGTTTTGTAGTTTTACTTTATTCCCCACAGACCTATATTTCTTATTATATCAAAATTTTCATTTAGGTAGAGTTCATCTTCCAGGAGGACTAGTGTTAAGGGAAAGGGTCTCATAGCAGCTAAATATATATTATAAATCAGCTCATTTAAGGTCAGTTACTTTTACTTGCAGGCTTACATGGGAAACTTTATGTTCTGATTTAGATGCTTTTTACTATTATTTGAGCTCCTCCCACCCCAGTTCTTGTTCCTCAGTCTAAGATTTTCACTATGTCAAATAAAGGGAACATGGGACTGTCAGCAATAGGCATAGTGATGCCAGAAGTCAAAGCTGGTAGCCTGCCAGAGAGTTGGGAGAACTTCATAGAAATCAGACACAGTTATCAGAGTCTGGGGTCATTTTGAAAAGGGAATAAATATTTCTGTGTACACTAAAGATTTATTGTGTTGTGGCTTAGTTCAAAGATTAATGTTCATAAGGATGACTGAATCACCTGAAAGTGAAATGTTTGGCATATGCTGTTTATTAAAAGGTAGGGAATGCATTTTAGGGAATCGTCCATTGGTTTTGATTGGGTGCCTGTTAAAGCAGGTGTGAGTGAGTCCCTTGAGCTACAGTCTCTGTCCTTGGGGAGCACAGAGCCTAGTGGAACAAGCAAGCCAGTAAATCAGCACGCACAAGGCCCTGTGATTAATGCTGTCCATGGAGTGTGCACGGGGGCTGCAAGGGCATGTGTGGGGCAGCATGGAAATGTGATAGGTGCAGCAGAGAAGCTCTGCAGGAGGGTTAGGCTTGCTCTGGGACACAGTGAGCAGGCCGCCGTAGTCAAGAGGATGGAGAACAAGGAGAACAGTGTTTCGGGCCCAAGGAATGGCACGTGCTGGGAGGTATAAAACAGCATGGTGTGTTGAAGAGTTATGTGTGGTTCAGTATGGCCGAATGAAGGCTTCACACATAATGGTTCACACATTCAGCCAAAGATGAGGGGCGATGGGCTGGCTGGGACTAGCTCCAGAGGGTTTTGTACCAGTGGCTAATTAGCAATCCCAGAAACTACTGGGAACTCATTCAGCATCATTTGGGAGCACTAATTATAACTGAATAAAAGAGCAAGTAGCTAGAAGGTTACTGTGGCTCATCAGGACAAACTCACGAAAGCCTCAACCGAGCAGCAATAGCCAAACAAGACAGCAAGCGAAGTGGACGGGAGAAATGGGGGAGGAGGAGCT